ATAGAGATGTCTCACCTTTTCATGGGGTTTCACTATATTTTTCTGCTTTTTCATGACCACATTCAAACACTAAATAGTTTCAGCAGCTATTTTAATTATCAAATACTCTTGCAGTTAAAAATTCTCAGTGCTGCCCCAGAATGAAGTTCATTATATTTTAGTATCACCATAATACTCGCTATGTGCAGTTAATTAACTGATTAACTGAGAATACGTGAATATCTCAGTACTCTGGGTTATAGCTGTTTTACCAAATGCTGTTTTTAATTATTTATACACAAAGTCCCTTCTAATTAAAAGTGTTTAACCAAGCTAATATATGATTAACACTGTCATTCACTGATCATTGAGCCTCTTTGCTTTTTCAAGCTGATAACTTCATTTCCTCATGTTTTGTTCTGTTTTCTGAAATAATATATTCCACCCGAGAGGATTCGTTACCTCACTGCCGTGCCAGTCTTTCCACAAAAATAAACCCTTCTGTTGCTTTTTAAGTAATGAAAAAGTAGAGTTTTCCAAAATCACTTTGGAGTTTGACTTTGACACCTACAGCACCATTAACTCTAAAGTGAGAAACACTCCAGAACACAAATGCACTTTTTTATTTTTTATTTTTTTTGAAAGCGCAGGTTGTGGACGTGGTAGAAGATGTGGATTTGCATTTTCCCGACCGGTGGTGAAGTCAGAGAGGCACGATCAGCCGAGGCTCATGCTGCCCTGTGCGTGGGAGGTAGGGATGGATAGAGCGATAGTCATTCCAGCAGTCCCTCTGTCGCGGGGGTGTGTTGCATAAACAAGCGGTAGGACTAGCCTAGGGCTGGTGGTATTAAATTAAAGAGCATCTTCTGGCAAAGGGTCACCAAACAGAACGGTGAGGACTGAAGAGTGACGTTTTTAAGGCTCCTCCAGCGAGGCATCAGTCAGATCCAGGTGCAGATTCGGGTTTCATCTCTGCTATGACATCTTAGCCATCGGTGGTGCGGAGGGTTGGCGGACGCTGACTGGTTCGCCCACTGTTTGGCAGGTCAGATGGCCAGGTTGCTCTGCAAACAGGACCCTCTCCAAGCGCGTTGTATCCCTCGATGGAGCACACAGCCTGTAAGGCGATAAAAGCCTGCGGCTGGGTGTACGCACATCAAGAGTGGGCAAATCTCTGGTTGCCATGGTGAAATGGGCAAGACCTACAGGAAATGGGGTAAGTAGCGATCACGATAAATGTAAGCAAAAGGAGTAGCAGTTTTATCGCCTTCCAGACGTTCTTCCTGGAAGATTTGCATAACCTTTGGAGACCCCAAACCTTGGCAGATTATGGTAATGTCAAGAGGAGAGAAAGAACAGGACCTGAGTACAATCACCTGAGGTAAAAATGTCAGCTAACCAGGACTATGCTGATCTGAGTACTGGAGGTCAGGGGATTTAAACTTGTGACCTTCTGTACACAGTTCCCAAACCAACAGAGCCAAACAACATGCCAGTAGGTACCTCAGGAGACATGGAAGACTGAATCATTGAATCATAGAGTATATGTAGTGGTTTATTCATTTGCATATCCACCAAATTATATATTAAAAATCTTTCTTTTCTTTTTGCTGTGGGCATTTTAGGAAGTTTCAAGCACAAACTATCATGTGCAAGAACATCATATGTTATTTGTATCTTCGAATGGTTGCATGTACCTCAAAGGTTTAATAGAAGAAAAAAAAACAAGGAATGAGAGGAAAGTTGTCCTCCATGCTTGTGGGCAGAATTTGACAGGGCAGCGAGAGAAGAGTAGAAACGTCAGAGCCAGGAACCATCAGACAAGAGGCGGAACTCACTGGGGACACGCTGTGGATCACCATGTTCTCTAATATGAGAAAATTTCACTGCTCTCAATGGAATAATGGAGGCCAGATTTAGGTATTTTCTGTTACAGCACCACAGCAGGGAAGGTGTTTGTTTAAGGAAAAAAAAACAAATCTTGGCGATCAGGCATGAAGGTGCCACATGGCTCTGTCCTGAGTCCATTTCTTTTCTGTCCTCAATTTTGGCCCCTTGGGAACATTAGCTAAACATTGTTATGCCGATGGAATATTGCACCTCTCTTAATTGATACAGGACTTAGAGGTCCAGTCATTACGACCAAATGCATGAAATGACTCTGCTTGGTTCATCGTAAGTTCAGCATCATGGAGATTGCTGCCATTTACCTCCTGTGCTTTGGGTCATTCTCAGCTCTTTCTACTCAAGTGATTTATAAACACAAACAGCTTTAGTTCATTGTCATATGTGGGTGCACAGACAGGGACAGACTAAGTTCTCTGGGAGCCCTAGGCTGAAATCGGTAGGAGCCACCCTAAGGTGACAATTTGAGCTATTTTTTGGAGCCAAAAGAAAAACAAGAAGGAATTAAAAACGATGGAACATCAATAATATGCTAATCAAAGTACGGGGTGCCAGCAGTAGCACTTACTGATCAGGGTGGGGGCAGGAGTGATGTTCGTAAAATACAATGATTGAGGTGGTAAATTTCCTTAAATATAACTTCTGGAAATTCTGTCTTCACGGGCCCCTTGCAGGATGCCTACCCTTGCCTTATGGTAAGTCCATCCCTGATCACAGGATGCAGAAGATAAGCTGTGGGGAGGCTTCTGAAGATCCAGGCTGCTGCCTCCAGCCCATTGCTGAGGCTCCACATCTAGAAGAAGGGCCACCTTACCTGGGACAGTCAGTCCAAAAAATATTATTAACCAATGAAATTTTGTCACAATCATGATTGCAAATTTAAGCATTTCTTGGTATATTGTTACTGGCGATTGCTACCGCATTGGCCTGTTTCAGTCAGTTAATTTTTTTAGGTTCTCTTTTTTCCCTAAATACTAGTTAGAACACTTATTGCTTGTGAAAATGTAATGATCTAAACAAAATTTAACTAACTGATCAACGGTGTTGGGAGTGGAGGGCAGACAGAGCTGAAAATCGGCGGATGTTTCTGACAGACGGCAGAGACGGGAAATGGGGCGTTGTGATTTTATCTGTGGCTTGGAGCTGTGAAGGTCGCTGCTGCGGGGGGAGTGGAGGGGGGCTCATATTTAATTTCTGAATCTGTGTTGAGGCCAATGCATGGGGAGGGAGGGGCACACAGAACACTTAACCAACAGTTTTTTGCGAATAAATAAGAGAATTGTTTTAGTCACCACTTTTTCACATTTGGAATGGTAGTGAATTGTGACTGATACTCAACACCCATTGGCTGACTGCATCAGTACTTTTCCAGCGGGGGTTAGTTTAGATGATTTATTGAAGCCATAAACAGTGGGGAAGAGAACAGTTACCAACAACTATATGGAAGGAAAGATTATTTTTTCTAAAATGACAACATGCTTCAGCTTAATAATCAGACTGAATTCTTGAGTCTTGGTTGCAAAGCTGAGACATTTTTACTAGTCATCAAGTAATAACTAATAATTGGATAATATAATTTACACATAATTCTTGTTTTTAAAGATTGTATCATTTGTGTAATTTATGCCCCACCCCCAATTGTGTGAGCATATTTAGAGGTTCTTTCCCACGGCATTAATAATGTTGTGCTGTTGTTGACGGCAGATTTGGTAAATTTAGCACCATTTCTTAATCAGAAGCTGAAATGGCTTTAACCAGTTTCATCTTCACCTTTCTTGGTCTCTATGGACAAAGTCCTGCCTGAATTTGAGTGAGCAACTCTTTGGATCTGTGAGGAAAGAGCGCCACCTGCTGGGATACCATGGCATTTTTCCTAAGAAAAAGCCATAGATTTACCCTATTCACACTAAAATAACAAATACAACTTCAAAACACTCTGTGGCAAGGATTATGTCCCACTGTTAATCAAGTCAGAGCAGCAGAGATGGGATTCAAAGTAACACGGACAAGTAGCTCAAACCAGTCTGACGACACCTGGAAATCGCTTCCATTCCAAATTCTGAACATTGGTTTCTCCAATGAAGAGGCAGAAAGGGACCTCAAAGTAGCACCCCTACCACTTCAGATCCTGCAATCCACTGAGGTGGTTTTAGGGTCTCACCATCCGGCTCCCCCAGGGCTCGCTCCTTTGGATGGGGCCCCTAGGGGCAGACCCAGGACACACTGAAGGGGTGGCTACACTTCATAGCTGGCTTGACAGCACTTAGGGTACGCCTAGATGACCTAGACTCCATGGCCTCAGGAAGAGGTGATGGATCAGGGGCAGACATCACCCCCCCCCCAGGAGGAGAAAGGGTTTGCTTGCGAATGGGTACAAAGAAATAAGCGGCTCTACAGCTGTAATTCAGTTTATACGTGTATTATTTATCCATTGCGTTTCCTACAGAGCCTAAATTAAGTACGCTGCACATCTTGATTTATGGTTGATAGAAAACGAAGGCGGACAGGGAGGAGGCTGATGTAATTTCAATCTACAGGACTGAAGGATTTTTAATTGCACACCGGTCCACCTCTGTGGGACGCTCTGCTCCCATGACGCCCTTCTCCGTTAATGCTGACACAGGACACTCAGGAGGCAGCCTGAGATGTTCCTGGGAGATCCTGATGAATGAACAGGGCCCCAGAACCAGTCCTGGACGCTCACAGTTTAGTCTGAACAGACCCGGATCAGATGTCTGCACAGAAGACAGTGGCTGTCAGAGGGGTATGAATCTGTTAAACTTCTACAGAATGTCCTTTTCAAATTGAATAAAATATTTAAATTTCTGCTGGTGTTCTGTGATTGCTGCCAGAGGAATTGGATTATAATGGTGCGCAACACACCAGTAAAAACAATAAATGAGATGACCCACTAGAAGTTTGTGACTGCTCAGGACATAGATGATCATTTGTGATGTTCCAGGCATACTAATCAACCCAGGATAATTTTGGGGGAATTGCAGGATTGAGCATTCCTAATGGCTGGGAATGTCAGTCTCTGTAAATCCACAAGCAAAAGACATACAGTGCTGTGCACACAGCGATTCAGCGATCAGCAAGACACCGGGAAAACGTAGTGATTTTTAAAGACGTTTATTAAAAAATAAAAATAGAAAAAACTTTACATAAAAATATTGATCAAATTAAGGAAAACGTACAGTAATTTCCTCGCTCGTTAGCCAACGACGAGCCCTGCGACAGCTTGGGACGTTTCGATTTCAGTCTGCAGACCCACTCTTCCTGACCCCTCCAGTGTGCTTCTGGCTTGCTATGTTTCTGAAAGGCTAGCTCGACAACAACGGGGGGAGGGGGGGGGGTCAAACTGAGCCAGCCCGCCCAACTCATCCCGAGCTGAACGCGTCCAGAACACCCGATCTGTGCTCTCCCAATCTGCTCAGGATACCGTTATGAATTCGTAACACAAGATGAATAGACACTTTTAAAAAAACCTTCTATAAGGTTGCTGGTTTCTAAGACAAACTCCCATAATCAGGTTAGTGTCCGATTACCCGATGCGGCTCTTAACCCACCACCAGTTGACCGGCACCATGAGTCAGAGCATACAGACCGCAGTGGTGGCTTAGGGGGTCACCAAGAACGTTTAAAGGAGAACCTCTGAGCTTCGTTGTCACCACGCAGGACGTTTTGCAGGATGCAAGAGTGTGCGTTACAGGATGACACAGGCTTGGGGACGCCGTCAACGGCACAACGACACAGGAGATGATTTGGGGTGAGGGGACAAACACCTCCCCCCCCCCCCCCCCCAAAACCACACACTTGCATAGTAACACCTGTATGTACCTGTCAAGCTCTAACTAACATGAATACAGGTCTGTTTGCATGAGAACATAATACTGCAATCAGGACATCAACATATATAGTCGAAGTTTGTGATTGAAATGTGTTGCTCTTAACAGAACGAATGCATACAGATACGCAGATTCCCGAACGGAATCAAAATAATGCCTCTTCACAAAAGTCTGTTTGAAACTGGGTGGCTGATGGCCGGTCTTTCAAGGACCACCGACTGGAATCACACAAATTGAAGGGGCTCAGTCTAAGTCCACCCAGGGAACGAGGTGGCCCAGAACACTGCAGAACCCAGCTGTCTTTTGGACAGAAAGACCGATCGGACATCCATCACTGGTTCAAGCGAGACATCGAGCACAGAAACTATTACCAACCCACTGGTCTGCCTCAGTTAGGTCTAGGTTGCACTCGGAGCAGTTTCGCACTCGCCCAGCAGGGGGCAGGATACAGTCCCATGGATCACAGACACTGAGGCCCCACACTAGTTCCTTTCCACTCCACAGTCCACAGACTCGACACCCAGGAATATAGATTATTTTAAAACAGACTTACAAAGAACACAAGGACCTGTAAACTTTCAATGGAAAGACAACAGGAAAAAAAAATATATAACTTAAACCAACAACTATTAAAATTAAATATTTGTTGGGGTAATATTGCACAAAGTGTTTCTTCCATACACTCATGCCAGTCTGCTGTAAGGACAGGATGGCTCACTCACCAAACCCCCCCCCTCCCCCAGACTGGACTGAAACACCAAAAAGGCCTAACCCCGAAAAGCCCAGCATACATCCAAACAGGTTGTCAGAGGGCACCTTCCACCCCCCAGCCAAGGGAGCTGCAGCTTCAGGAGGCCAGGGGCGGGGCTCTTCTATCTGCTCAGGCTGTCCCGTGTCACCTTCCTCCGGCGCCACATGTTACGGGGAGGCTGCGGGTTCCCTCGATTGGCCAGCAGGGGGGTGTGCATCGCTAGGGGGCTGTCCAGCGCCTTCTGGGGATACCTCAGTCCATTGGAGACCTGGGGAAAGTGGTCAACAATCAGTTTTTCCAAGCATCGAACATACAGCAGCTTTAGGGAAATATGCAGGGACACTGCAGAGACATCAGTATTCGCCAAAACACAGGACCCAACAAGACGTTTATGATCTCCCTGAGAGTCCGGTACAGACCTTGTGGTTTAGCTGGCAGTTTGGAAGAGATCCAGAAGCAGGGGGGGCTCTGGGGGGGGGCATCTGTAAGAAAGGGGGCACCCCATCCATACAGACTGCTCTGGCAGGGAGAGAATGTGAGGCGAGGGTCCGGGGCAAATTCCCTCTGGCCTGTGGAAGGCGGACAGAGAGGGCACAGAGTTACCAGCCAGTCATGGCCTCTCAGACAGACGTCACACATACACAAACGCACAAAATGAATGACAAAAACTCCCGCTGCCAAACCTCCAGATGACATTCAGACACCAGTTTTGTTTACCTGAGAGCCTGGGGGCATTATGGATGCCTTATTAAAGTTGGCCTTCCCATTGGTCATATGTAGCGTTGGGGGCATGGAGGCCAATGTCAGAGCTTGGAAACAGGAGGCGGGGAGGGCGGGGCCCATGTTGGGCGTGGAGTCCGAGTCCTGTCATGGAGACAAGGAAAGGCTGAAGCCACCTGCATGTCGGAAAGCACACGCGGGCGGCAGAACGTGCAGGAGGGGCAGTCCTTACGATGTCACTTCCTGAGAGGGAGGAGACCGAAGATGCAGAGGAGTGCTGCTGGGGGCTGGACAGTGACATGGGGGAGTCTGCGCTCTGTGGGGAGGCGGAGTCTCGCTGAGGTTCGTCCGCGGAGATGCCTGCCTGGTCACAGGGGTCCTTCTCAGCAGAGCCGGCTGGGATACAAATGCACCAATCAGCTTTGGACAGGAACCCCAGAGTAACAGACTCCCCAGATGCAAAACTGCATGACCCATCTGGAATTAGGATGTCAGACTTCTCTGGTGATCAATGACACAAGTAATGATCTCCTGCCACTAAGTTCAGCAGTAAACTAAGGAACTAAGGTGTTGGTGGTGGTGGTGGGGGTGGGGGGGGGGTTCATTTCATCAAGTATAATTAGCTGGCATCCATTCTGATGTGGTTTGTTAAGGTTAAGCCATGAATCGAAGAACGCTAAGAGCCGAGGCATGGAATCAGCAGGTTTTGCACATGCCGGCCTTGGCCCGACCCACTCACCAGTGCCGTCTACCCGGGCTGAGCGCTCACTGCCCCACTTCATGGAGATCCAGTCTCTGTAGTCCATCACCTCCTGGGTCACCTTGATGATGCGACCCAAAGTGCTGGGAACAGGGAGGCACAGGGGAGTTTCACACCTGCCCGTGACAAGACGAGACCACACAGGGGGCCCTACTGGCATGTGACATACCTGTCGCTGTCCCTGTTGGGATACGAGCGGGCGAGGGGTGACACGGCATGGCCCAGCACAATGTAGGCGTAGTCAAAGACCTGCTTCACCTGCATGGCACCATAGGAGCTCCTGCCCACGTCATTTCCTGGGGGGGGGGGGCAATACAATGAAGAAACTGGGAACAGGCAGTGGAAGCCTTTTAGAATTGTCTGCCCCGGACGGCTTGGCTTTCAGACTCGGTATGACTTCACTGAAGCCAATTAACTCAGAGCCTGTCCGTCAAACAGGAATATGGCGACTCCCCAGAGTGAGGACAGAAATGGGGAGCACTCCCAAACAGCAGCAGGGTGAGCCCAGCAGGCACAGAACCAGGCTTGGCTTTCATTCAGACAGATCTTTGGCAGCCATTATGGAAAAGTGGCCAGAAAGCCCATCCTGGGCCTGGTTCCGGGGCATACCTGGTAGGAGAGGATCCTCAATGCACAGCATGGAGGGCCTGTAGCCGCCAATCATGGACCTCATGATCTCCTCCTTGGCGATGTACGCCCCGCCGTTGCGGATGCGGATACCCGTCCGCAGGTAGTTGAAGTGCCTCCCGTAGAGTTCGAAGAACTCGATGAGGAGGATGCCCAGGTTCACGTTGGGGTTCCGGGCATCGATCCGTGGGTGTAGCTGGTGGAGGCGGGGGGCGGGGGGGGGATAGATCCAGCAAATGAGCTGCACTCAGACTACAAATGGGATCCTAGTAAAATACTAAGAACCCTGGGCCTTACCTGCAGAAAGCTGATGACCATTAGAATGAGGCTGTAGGAACTGATGCCGCCAGTGAAAACCTCATTGAGGTCCCGCTGGAGAAGAAACTGCTTCAGCACGAATATCAAGTAAGGCAGCACTGTGTACCTCTGGGGGGCGACAGAGAGCACAGTTCATGTGCAGTTTAGTGTGGGCTTTCCTAAAAATCAATGAAGTATTCCAACCCTTGCTTGGGGAAACCAATGATGGGCATCCAATCTAGAGGCTCACACCTGAGCTAAACACACAGCAAGGGACGCTGTCTCACTGCCCAAACAGTCCCCAAGCTCAGCCTCACATCACAAACGAGACCCTAATTCTCTTTCTCCACATGCTCCGCGTTCTGAATCATTCATCTCACACTCAACAGAATGTTTGACATCCTGCAACATTAAGCGTGCTAGGCGCAAAAAGCCAGAAAGGCGGCCCATCACGGAGGAGGACTGCGATTAATCGCGACAGGTTATCTGTTGACTAAATATTCACGTTTCAGAGGACCTTCTTAAAAAGCTCAGCTGCACAGAAAGCGGTGTGGTACGGTGCCCCCTCAGGTCCGGAGCAGGGAAACAGAGCTCCACACAACAATAATGGGGCCAACAGCCATCGCTTTTCATTAAAACGCGCCATTTGCTCCTGGCCACTTTCGAAGAAATGAGGGATTGGGTTTATAACACTGTTCTTGCGAGGCGCTCACCTTCACATAGTCCTTAATAAACCAGGCGGCTTTGACACCCGTCTCCACGTTAAAGCTGATGTCCACTTTGACCTCGGTCTCTTGATCCGTCAGTTTAATTATTGGCACCTAAAAGGGGGAGATGTGATTAGATTGGTCCAAGATTTCACTTACTAAACCTAATGTGTGATTGAGCACCCAAGGGGGGGGGGCAGCAACCCTTCCATTTAATTAACGTTAATTTAGCCACAGTACATTTACGTTTAATTTATTTAACAGATGCTTTCATCCAAAGCAACGTGCAATTGAGAAAGCAGGATCCAGTCCATGGAGCAACTGGAGGTCTGCGATGACATCACTCTGTCAACACTGGGATTTAAACCAGAAACCTTCTGATCTCCAGCCAGAGAGCCCTAACTGAGCCACACATCATCCTCCAATAAAAGATACAGCACCACTTTGGTGATCTGAACCAGCAACCCTCTGATTGCAGTTCTCAGCCTTTAACCACTGCGCAACCTCCTTGTGAAGGCCATCCAGTAAATAAATACCAAGAATTCATGTGGGAGGGCTACCCTGGGTGTGGAGCTCACCGTTGCTTTGTCGAGCACTTTAATGGAATAGGGCACGGCTACATTCCGCCGCCTCAGGGCCTGCTCCAGCTGTTGCAAAGGGGGGCGCTCCCAGGTCCCAAAGACCACCAGGTCGATGTCACTGTGATGACGAGGGGAGAAGGCATGTCATGCACAGTACACAGTACAAGGTTTGCCATTACGTCACTCCCACCCCCCCATGGACCGTAAACAGGCCAGCTCTTAATTACCTTGTCGGAAGATAAAGACCCGTACTGAAGCTCCCAAATATCTGGACCTGAAAAAGGCATATGGTTACCTCAGCACCAGATAGTGGATAGTCCAGGTCCAGAAAGCAAAAATCCAGACCAAGACACTGATATAACCAACCAGTTAAGTATAGTGTCAGTTACAGAGTACTCAACTGGTTGGCTGAAACCTTGCTCTGGATTTTTACTTTCTGGACCTGAATTATCCACCTCTGCTCAGCACACATGGTTAATACTCGCTCTGTTAAACACAACAAGCCGATAGACAGCCCCCCCTCCCCCAGTAGTAGGCTAAAATACACATTCTTATATCCTTGGGTTGGCTCACTTTTGTCCACGTCGATGTTCATACACCACATTCACTCTGGTTCTTTCCAGTCATACAATCAGAGATGACCATTTGTTTTATCTGATATTTTCAGACCACAATCATACCCGGGCGGTTTTGACAAAACTGTGAAAAGGTTTGGGTGCCTTTCCATGAACAAAAATGTAAGATCAGTCAAGGCACAGCGGCCAGTGGTCTGGCTGTGAACAAGTTAGCAAGTAAAAGAGCAAGCGCAAAGGGCGGCTTACATCTGCAGTGGGCCACAGCTCCTTAATGACCGCCTCGATCCTGCCGACCACCTCTTTGCGCATGGCTGCCTCTTCTGGGCGTGGGGACATGAAGTGGTAGAAGTCCACAATCTCCTCATGAAGTCTGGATGGAGCAGAACAAGTGGGTGGTCACACCACCATCTGTTTAGATGCGGTCTTAAGTAAACATTCATTCACTGAAACTACCAGCTTACATAACTTACTCTTGGTGTGATTTGATGCTGTAACAGTTGACAACAACAAATCAAAATTTAAGAGGCCATCTTAAAGTTTCTCTCCTTGTAGTGATACTATAGCGAGTACTAGGATTGGCAAAGCGAAACAGTTTTATTCTCATAACAACCCAAACTTAAAATATTAAGACACTCCGAGTTTAGGGAAAAAAAAGCAGCTTCTGGGATATAGTATAGAACTTAATCCAGGTCTGGGTCTGCTCCTTTAACGTTACATGAAATTAGGTCCGATTTCTAAAATGCTTCAGTTCATTATAACAAACGTTTTTTTCTTAAATATCACTGCATAATTATGGGAGTAGTTCAAATTAAAAAGAACAAGATGGTTTGTACACTGTGCAAAGTTCGATGTCATACCACAGCGGCAGTAGTATTAAGAGACGCTGAGGTTAGTGAGCAACCTCAATTCCTATCGCTTCCACGACACTAAAACAGTACGTAGCACGTGGCGTGCTGCACTAACTGAGTTTAACAAACATAAGGATACGTCAAATTTACACAGATTATTACCTTTTGGGCATCGCAATATGCATCACATTAATATTTTAGGCTTACTACTGATCTACTTATCGAATTGTGTGCGAAGGTAATGTCTGGAGGAAAATCAACTGTTTAGATTAATTGACCAATCGGTGAAACAGTTGATAAATTAATCCATAGAAAAGTACCATTTTAGCCATCTCCCAATCTGAATCTCTAGAATTATAACATATGCATTCCTGTGTCCTGGATGTTCACATTTTGAAGGTTTAGCTGACTTCCAGTGTCCAGGGGATCACCGGTGAACTTTGAGAATACACAAAACGGTTTACCCTGTAATGAATTTAACGTTCAAATATACTGAAAGACTGGTGCATCCCTGAAGGTGGAGGAAATCCCTGCAGAGATGCCTCCTAGGCAGAAATAACCAACCTTCAGACATACTACACAATCATGCCACAATTCTGGAGAATCCAACTGCAACTCCACCATTATAATGCGTCCATTATCCGAATGGTACATGGTTCTCGGTGACTTCTAGAACATCAACAACCTTAATTACCAAAAAAAAGCACACAAAAAACAGCAATATCTACATGAAGAAAAGGATAGCAGCTGAAATCACCAAATCCAGTACAAGCACACGTTGCACAGCCTAAGAGAATCCAGACTGAAAGCCAAAACATTAACATAATGTTTCATGTGCAATGCAATCATGCAGTATTCACAAGGGGCCTGCATTCCTGCAATGGGGAAGGCATGACAGTCACATATTTATAAATTCCTACTCAGATGCAGTGTGAATGTGCTGTGGAGACCTGTATGGGACCACACGGCATTCACATAGCTAACAGGAAGGTTGTTCCTTGGAAAATAAACACTACTCAGTTCAATCACCTGATACCTGAAAAACCAAGGAACAGGCAAGTCACTGCCACACTGCTCAAGTATGCTGGAAGTGGCACTAATAAAATACAATAACATATACAGAGATTAAAATCTGACCATCTTTGGAGGTCATCACCAGCTTAAGCAAGTCATGCAGGGAGCTGAAGAGGAAAAAAAAGAATTACCAGAAACCGGTGGGGGTAAAATTTGGGCTACAGGGTGCTACCATGATGGCCGTCTTCAGAGGCAAAACCTTACCACCTGCCCTTCTAGGCCTCGGGGGAAAGGTAGATGTTAGGCTACACAGTGGCATGTCAGTCGGGACTCCGCTGACCATACGCACCCACCCTTCTATGCATTTTTCCTGATTCATCTTTTTATTTTTTACTTCTTACGTGCACATTTTAAGAACAGTGCCATCAGAAATAACCGACCAGCCATGTGGCTAAGCGAACTGAAAGTCCTTATCTTATAAGAACTAAATACCAAAGAGATCACAGATTCACCACCTGGAGTCAATCAAATAATCCCATAAAACAAATATAACATTATGCAAAACGGCTGCCCCACCCCGACACACACTGTCTCTGCAATAGTAACACTGATGTTAGGAATGATGCCACTTTACCCCCTCAAATAATAAAAAAAATAAACGTCCCGCTGGGGAACAGTAATGTGCATTTATCATAATACACTGAGCTGATGAGAAGCACGATCCAGGGGCGCTCATCGATAATTAATGGTCTGTATAAATGCATAAGAAGGCAGCCCTGGGGGTCCAGCCCCGGTCGCCCCGGAGCCCCAACGACCGCTCACCCGTTGACCCCCGGGCTGTATCGCCTCCTCTTCCAGGGGGTGCCGGAGCCCACACAGCTGCCGTCGCTCCAGGAGGACAGCAGGTAGTTGATGCCGTAGGTGCTGGCCCGGTTGTCGCTTTTCCTCCGGCCCGGATGGTGTTGGTATCGGCGATGATTCACGTTGGCGGCCGGGTGCGGGCGGCGGAGAGCGCACGAGTCCCCGGCGAACGGGTCACCCAGGGTGCCGCTGCCGCTACGCTCCGAAGACGGACTCTCCGCGCCGGACTCCGCCGAGGACGAGGACGACACGGAACCAGCCTTGGGCAGCCTTCTGCCCGGCCCGGAGCACGCCTTGGCGGCGTGGGGCGAGGCGGCCGTGGGATGGCCGGCGGAACCGGAGTCCAGCGCAGGAGAGTTGACGCACAGGCGTTGGTGGTGATAGTTATGGTAATGGTGGTGCAGGTGGAGGTGGTGGTGCGGGAGGTGGCGGCTGGAGAGCACTCGGGCGTCCTGGGAGGAGTTCTCCCATGCTTGCATCCACAAGGCGGTCGCAGGTCCCTTCTGTTCGGGCTGAATCCAGGCGACCCTCGGATCCATTCAGCTGGTCTGCAGGCTGCTTGTTTTTTGTTTAAAAAGCGTGCGTCTGACCCGGATTAAAATATATATATTAGAATTTAATAAATAAAGTTAAGTGCTTAAAAACCCGCACCGTAGTCCGGGAAGGGGGCGGGGGACACGACTGGCTACTGACTCCTCATAAGCGCTAGCATCTCGCTAGCTAGCTAGCTAAAACTGATCAACGGTTCCAGATTCAATATGGCGGAAGCGCACGAGCCCAGAGCGCAGCGCGCATGCGCGTCATTTTTTAAACCGCCGCCTAGATACGCCCCTTTAATTTAAATGCAGAAGATGGTGCAGAACCTCATTGGTTACTGCAACCTAAGCGTGACTGTAATAATAAACGGCAGGAATTTCTGTCAAACCATGCGCGTATGTGCTAGGAGTGATCTTAGCCTCTAAGTATCCATGCAAGGGAGGTGTTGTTTAAAGAGACACCACCGCCTCCCAAAAGCTTTTGGTAAATTTTAAATTCAAGATTTGGCAAAGGTTTGACATTGATAAATTCTGAACCTCTAAATATGAATAACATGCACAGCTTGAATTTTGAATATCCCAGGAATAGGCTGGGAGGGTAGTGTGAAATGCAATCGCATGCTGAAATGCCTGAGAAATTAAGTTTGTCGAGTGCGCTCAAACTGGCCAGGCAATATGTGGTCATGTTTTGATAAAGCGCTCTGACCTGAATTAAAGAGCACAGCCACGCTGCGAATTAATTTATTTGTTCTGTTTGTCTGTGAAGGTCATAATGTAATTTCTGGAGCATTTGGACTTGGATATGTAAATGATTGTTTTACCACACAAACAACCATTTACCAGAGACACACTGTGAACAACTTAGAGACGTCGGTTAACCTAACATGGACTGCCCCCTGAACCACCCCGTTACTTCCTTACAATGTGATTAATTTTCGGTTGCACGGCGTACGAAACGGCTTTCTATTGATTAAACATTCTTTAGCTGTAAAATTGGGCACACGATTTTTTTTTCATTAGTTTGAAAACAGTATTTCGTCTAGATAAATGTTTGTATCCGGTAAAATTTATCAGTATGTGGCAATGTAATTTCCTTTTCTGTAAGCTGTATGCCCCTAGGAGATGTCTGTACTTTTATGATCAGCCTTTTTCCTGGTTATGCTCTGTGTGTGACAAATCAAATACATACAGTCAACTAAAAAATTCCATGTAGTGATGTTAAGATAGCAATCTCGTCATTGAATTGCACGCTGCAAATTGTATAAAACTATATGGGCCAGGAATCACAAGCGGAAGACCTGGGAACAAGTGCTGATTAAAATGTAATTAAAACAGCTAGATTTAAGATCCCAAATCAATTATCCCGCCCTCCCAAATAACTCATCATAAATCCACCCACACGCCTTCTAAGGGCCTGTTCAGTACAGGGTGTTCAGGGATAGATTAATTCCTGAATTTTATAGAAGCTGATAGTTTTATTCCATACGTAAGTATATGGACTACATGTCGGATGATGACAATCCAATATTCACTTTTCAAATTTACATCTTTAAGTAGCCTATTCTGTCGCCGCAGACACAAACTTTTAATTCCCCTTTAACAAATAACGGGTAAAATTCTGCTTTTTATATTAAAAAAAAAAAAAACCGGATATGTATTTTTTTTTGCTTTTATACCATTTATAAACCACACGAAATCACTGGATATTGAATTACTGATATTTTGCCAGTAAGAAAAACATGCATTATGACAATCAAATGCAAACGAAGCCCCTATTTTGCACTGAACTTGCAGCGCTGATTGATGAGATGATACCGCAATGGCAACCGGAGCGGAGCGAAGGAGAAATACTGAGAATGAGGAGGTTAACGGAGCCTCACGTCTCCCCACTGCCCCGCACGTGATTTAATGCCATTAATACGCACCCGTGTCCTTGAGTGTGAGGGCAGATTGGGTTTATTGCCTCTTGCAGGCCGGGGTGGAAGCATCGCACACCCCATTACCATACACTCATGTGCCCCCCCTCCTCCACACCAGGGGAGACTCTCCTTCTCTGCACCATGAATTTCGCATTTCTCGGGAGATCCTGATAATATAAAAATCCAAGCCTGATCTAAGATTTATAACCTATAAAAATACATTTAAGAAACGCTGATGCCATAACCTCTTCGTGAGAAATTTTGATTTACCTATTTAAGGTGAAGAGGTTTCTTGAACATTTTATAAACACGTTTTGAGAAATTCCCAGAGAAACTATTATTTCTTGCATTTTAAATATTAAATAATTCAAACAGCATGTGATTCACAAACTGAAATTGTACATAATCTGCATAGTTTAAGTAAAGGTATTAAGATGTACAAAAGGGCATACAGTCCAGCGCTTAGAGGGCATGTAATTTAGTTAAGCAACAAAATTATATGAACTGACCAAAACAGATTATTATGAACTATCAAAGCTGGTAAACATAACAGGTATATTGGTTGTCCATAATAAAGGAAATAAAGTAAGATAAAGTAAGAACTCATAGGAGTCAGGGGAAAGAGCACATACTCAAACAGGGGCGCCGTAAGGGGGAGGAAAGCTAGGACGATTCCAAGGGCCCCTGAGTGACAGGGGCCCTAAAAAATTAGGAAAATAACTGGATTGGTTTGGACTGGGGGGCCTAATATGATATGCTTTCATGGGGCCCAAAATCTCTAGCAACGCCCCTGTACTCAAATCAATATCAAGATTAATTGATCATTTTACCTGAATTATGATCAATGAATGATTTTTTTGTTTGTTTTTTGCCTTCATATTTCATTGACAAGGTTTGTATTGTAAATATGTTCAACTATTAAAGCTGGGACATTTTTTGTAATGAAAGACTGTACATGTTTATGATTTTAAAATAATTGAAGGAAACAAACAGATCAGCCATTTATGCTTATTCACTGAATATTTTGAACAATTGCTTCTTTCAATTTCTTTTTCTTTATGTCTCTGGCAGGCTACCATTAGGGCTGCCACTAACAACTATTTTTCTATCGATTAATCTACAGACTATTGTATCGATTGGTCGATTAATCTAAACGATTCATTTTCCTCCAGAAAATCAACTTGACCATTTAATTTAATTTTGACGATAAGAAACTGCATGCCATTACAGCAACTTATCTATCTAACTAATGATAAAAAGCACTGACAATCAAAATAAAACTAATACACACACAAAAAAATCACACATACAAAAGCGATATACATTAAACAAATGACAATCCTATACTCAGACAATCCTATAAGCAGACACACGTGCACCACCTTCAAGTCTCGCTATAATTTCTTTTTTAAGTTCTACAGCTACTCTCAATACACTACTATTTGGTTTGCTGCTATCACTGCTATCTTAGGGCCCACGATTACTGTATCCCTAAATGTTCTGTAGATAAAGCACACAAAAATTTACATCGAACACAGGAACACCGGTTTCGCACGTCGAACTCGGTCTAGAGGCATCTGCTTCGTGACACTTTCTGAACTTGCAACGACCCTCAGTTTGAGAATTGCGGCGCTATAATACAGTACAATTCTGTAGGCCTACATAAAATATAGCTTATTGTAGTTTCACTACTGCATCTCTTTTGTCTCGTCTTTGACAGTTTATGATAAACTTTGATGAGTATATATTCGTGATTTAGACAAAATTACTTTCTTTTTCCTGTCATGTTTTCTGCGCATGTAGCATGAGCCTCAGGTAGCTAGCCAGAAGCAGAAGGGTTACCACAAGGCAAAGTAGGCAAGTAAAGAAAAGAATTACCGTAATTTTTTCCCATGTTATGTATAAAAATACCGAAAATGAACACTGTAAGCAGACTACTTGACTACTATAGGCGATTTAAACGATACTTGTACAGGAAGGATTCTGTCCCAAGCTTTTTGATCTATAAAAGCGTTTTCTACTGTATTTTAAATATTGCTAGCGTTAAAATCGATTGGTGGTATTACCTTTGGTAACTGAAACTTTTTTTTTTTTTCCAGTGTTTACATTTGACCTCTTTTTGTTTGGCGTTGTCTTCACTGAAGCCACAATGTATCCAAAGGATGGACACAGCATTTTTCTTTGATACAAGCTGCTCGAGTTACTCAGTCGGATCACGTCTCCTCCATGCCGCTTCCATGTTGCAGACTGGACGGGGCCGAGTCACATGACCCCACATGAGGTAGTATGTTTTTGAGGGGACAGTACATGAACACACAGTGGGGAAAATATTGACAGATTATTTGAAGTATTAACAGAATAATAATAATTTTTAAAAACGAAATAACAGACATGGTCAAGATTATGCTGATTAGAGATTTATATCACATTTATACACCCATATCTTACTTTATACCTCAGTACAAGAAAGGCACTAAAGCTTTTCTGCCTTTCGGGTAATCTTCAAATTTTTCCAAGTACCATCTGGAAAGAAGAGGAAACAGTCCATTAATCCTCACAGGGTCCACACACTTGTATACAGTTTAGATCAGGGTCCTTTAAATCTGGACCTCGATTCAAAAATCCAGGCCTTGTTTTCAGTTCTGCCAGGTAGTTAGTTTAATAATTACTGATTCTGATTGGTCAGAGGCTTCACACCTGACTGACAGGTAAAGGAAGTTTGGAAAACCAGCAGTGCTCGGACCTCGAGGACCGTGATTTGAATAACCCTGGTTTAGATAAACATCACCAAGTTTTCATGTTTTAACAGTGTTTTCAGAAATCAAATACATTGCTCATGGTAACTTCTGAAAGTGCATATTTACAAATGTATGCAAGTGGTAATAATGATGATTATTTTTCATTCATTTACTATATTGCTTTGTCCTGCTCAGGGTCGAAGGGGGTCTGGACCCTATCCTAGAAACAGTGGGCGCAAGTTGGGGAATAACCTAGTGCATCACAGGACACACGCACACATGCGCACACACACGCACACACGTCCACACACACGTGCACATACACCTAGGGATAATCTGGCAACTCCAGTTCACCTCAGCATGGTTTTGGGCTGTGGGCGAAAACGGAGAACCCACAAGGAAACCCCAGTTGTTCTATGACCTCCAGAGACATGGAGCCAAGCTGGGGCGTACCTGGAAATTCTGGGCCCTTTGATAAAGTCACCTTGGGTCCCCCCCACCAAATTTTACGTGTTCAAGGGCCCCTGTAAAGTATCCGTGCCCCTCCGACGTTCCTTCAGAGGTCTGAGTCAATGTGCCGCCTGATGATCATTATTAAGTCATTCAAATACATACAGTATTACGCAGAATCAGCAAGTAAGCCTGGAGCAGACAGCAACAGATACACCTTTTAGTTCTTGGCAGGTGAGTCACGCTGCTGGGTGAGTCTTACCTGTGATGGGCCGCGGCCCGGCTGGACAGCACCACAAGCGTGAAGACGGCGAACGACGCGCTGTGAACGGAGCAGCCGGCACAGGCAAACCCTGCCCACTCCACGATCTCGCCCAGGAAGTTGGCTCCCGACACATACTCAAAGAGGCCTCCTGCAGGACAGACGAACCTCGGTCACCCCCCCGTAATGGCCTCCGTGGGGCTGCAACATACAGGCTAGCGATGAGGTCACGCATAATTAAAGCTGCCCATCATTTTATGATTTTATCTCATATTTTATATTGGTATTGTACTACATTGTTTGGGATAAGCTGCCTTGTTTCGTTGTTCTATGCTATGACAATAAAGATTTTTAACTAGACTTGACTTGCAATGTGCTCCAGGTCTTGAGAATAATTAAGACAAGGCCTTGGATGGTAATTAATACGTTGTTTAAAGTTCCTTTGGACCACCACTTCATGAGCACATCAGATGTTTGCAAGGGGACGGTGAAGGATACAGGGGATATTTAAAAAAAAATTATTTAAACAGCATCAGCTCGCATCAGGGTGTGAGTTTTCAGATGTTACCAGGTGGGATCTTGTAGCCTGTCTCCCCGGGTTTCCGGAGATTCCTGAGGATGTGATCCGAATGTAGGTTTATCAGAAACCCCACCAGCCACATTATGGATCCTGAAAATAGACGAAGTTCTTAACACAAAGTATGAACATATTAAATGGTCCAAACATCTAAATAAATTATGCTGTAAGTGTAACCTATTCTGCTATTACAGGGGTCTTGTGGGACTGTATGACTGAACACAACCATCCACATTCAGATGCTAATCAGGTGTTTTAATACGAAGCTCAGTGACTTGCACACACCTACGTACCTGAGACAAAGGCGGGGTGTGTAACCCAGCCTGCCGGGTAATCTGCATAGTGGCTCAGATATCTACCTTGGAGATACCCATTGTACACGCAGAAAACAAAGGCGAGTAGGAAGGATACGAAGGGGGTCCCTTTCCCCCCTCGAATTAAAAACGGGTAAATGAGACACCTGCGGAGTCAAGACAGCGTTACCCTGCACATCATTCCTGAGGGTCCTATTTTAAAAGAGAATTGTCAGTAGTAATTAAGTTACCTGCAACTATATGACTCCTTATAAAAAACAAAAAACCTTATTCTTATTGGTACTGCAACTTGAATACTTGATGAAAAATCATCAGCTTAACTTTTATGTTTATTCTCACCTTTGTAAGTAGTGGCAGAAGTACATGACAAGCAGCAAACGGTTGGGTAGACGGTCCAGTTTGGAGGCGGACGTGCCGAGCAACAGGAAGAGAGGGATCAGGAGCGCAGGCAGCTCCTGAACAAACCAAGCAAACTTAGCGCCCACGGGAAAGCCATACTTTCTGCTGGCGTACCTGCCGTAGGGTACGTCCTCGAAAAGCAGAGAGAAAAAAGTTACGGCCGCCATGAGAAGCATCGCATAGGACATCAGCTCGAGGAGGCGCATCTCCTCGGCTTCGGAGACGAGCAGACCGTGAAGCAGGTTCATCATAACACTAGCAGGCTGACTAGTGAAGTAAAGCAATTGCAAGTTCAGCTATGGGCACAACGCACGGTGCATGTCAGTGATCAGATTTTATGAAGATGTAAAGAAGGCAGAGAGCCGCAATAAAAACCCAAAATTGCTGCAGTGTTCATTCAACAAGCATAAGTAAATAAATGCCGACAAATACTGACTTCCGACTCTCACCGAGACTCGGGACAAAACGGCCAACAAATCCCCGCAAGACCCCCCCCGTTAGCCAATCGAAATTTGTTGGTTTGTCATTTATTCAGGATTAGGCGTGGCAAGTATGATAATAAGCAGAAGTGTTAAAAATATCTGTGCAACCAAGATTTTAAAACACTAACGTGCAACACACATTACATAAAATTTTTTAATTTAGGTTAGTATAAAACAAATTATACCTGCGTTTTAGATGTCTACACAAATGCCTGATTGGACAAAAAAAATGGATAAAAACATCAGTGAACTGGTGAAAAGCTTTGCACGTTTTAAAAGCCATCAAAACGTTTAACTGTAAACGGTGTAATCGTCGTATGGACTTCTGGATTACAATTTGTTTCAGGCAGCACGATAGTAACCCCGAGGGCTTTGAGCGAAGGACCCAGTGGTGTGAGTGTTCTGCACATGAGTTGTGGCACCTCTGGCTTGTCGTGGTAACGGTGTATGAAACTAGTAGGGAAACCAATATCCTTAGCTAGAGCACTGAACATAAAACGACGCAGTTTTTTTGGCCAGGCAGTGCTCTCTGCGGCAGAGATGGGGAGAAGAAATAGAAACCGACAGAAAAATCAACAGGACAGAGACGGGAAAAGTGGTGGAAAAGACAGAGACAGTGCTGTGAGTTTGCGGCGTGATGTTTTCAATCCACAAAAATTAGCCTGGCCATCCGATCAGTGCATTTCATCTCTGTAGAGGGTTCATTTTAACTATTTTTATAAATTAAAGACATATTCAATATTTGTTTGATTAAGCCTTGTACTTTTTCGGAAAGTAACATAACGAAATTGATAGCTAATTAATATAGTTAACATGCCCCCCTGTCTTTTTTAATTAAGCAGCTGCCTAACCGACCAGCGAATTAAAGTTATACCAGTTCTGTTACTATCATGATCCAGTTGAAAGTTACGTAATGTACATTAATCTGTCATTCAACAGTGAAGTCGAGTCGTCTTTTAAAGTACGGCTGCAGGATGGCTTCATGGCTTTGCAGTTTGGTCATCTAGTAGCATGGAAGTGCTCCTACACATACTGTCCTGAGATGAGTTTGTGTTGCCTGTGCTTAGGCTTGGGGTGCCGGCTACTCGGAGATAATCAAGGAAAACAAACTCTTTGAACACTACTACCAAGAGCAGAAGATCGTCCCCGAGGGAGAGTTTCAGCAGTTTATGGACACGATGCGGGAGCCCCTCCCAGCGACTATTAGAATAACAGGTTATAAAAGGTAAATTGTGAAGTTATATTATGATACGTTTTCCGTCTTTATGTTGGTGACAGGATATTAACCAAATATTATAGGTATTGTTTTTGTTTTTGTGGACATTGCTTGACTGTTAACACCCTGGAGCTGTTGGCTTTTTCTGTTGTGGTTTGCGTGTTTTACAAAAGTGAACTGACAGCACTCCAGCCCAACATTGATGCTCACTGATTTGTACACTCCTGCTTGTGCGAAACTTTCAGCGATTATCTCTAATATAGGGGTGCCTGATAGATGTTAGCTTTTTGTGTAGATGCTGGAGCAGATGATTTATGGTGTGCCTTTTATATCTAACACAAACCCTGTGTCTCTCTTCTTTCTTTTTTTTAAGCCATGCTAAGGAAATCCTCCATTGCTTAAAGGAGAAGTACTTCAAAGACATCCAGGACCTTGAGATCGATGGGCAGAGAATCGAAGCCCCTCAGCCTTTAAGCTGGTGAGAGCGCAAATGCAAGCCGTCTTAGCAGTGTAGGTGTTTGGGGACAGTGGCAGAGATGTGACCTCATTTTCTCATCCAGGTACCCGGATGAGCTGGCATGGCACACCAACATGAGCAGGAAGATCATCCGCAAGTCACCCCTTCTGGAAAAATTCCACCAGTTCCTGGTTAGCGAAACGGAATCGGTAAGTATCTAATAGGGGTGTAACAGTACACAAAAATCAAGGTTCAGTACGTTTTTGATACATTGGGGGTAAAAGAAACAAAACATAAATTGCTTCTTTTTTTCTTTATTAAACAGTGGTTTACTGAACAAAGTACGACACTTAAATGAAAAGTCTCTTTTAATACTGCTGCAACCTACTGATTAAAAATAAAAAATTTACTTAAAAGTAAGTCAAAATAAATTTTCTCACAAGTTAAGAAAAATAAATATCCATGAAGATGCACATTTAGAAAATTAACTGTACCTGATCTGTACTGTGTTCACTTTAGCAGATTTCAGCTTCATATTAGAACTGTGCAACACAAACATTGTCTCAGAAAAATACAAAGCATAACAAAATAAATATCTATTATGCTGCAGCATTTTTTTTAAATACCTGTGCTGTTACTGTATTCACATTAACATTAAGCCATTTACCTGTTTGATCAGTTTATAGATGCTTTAGCAAATCTCTGGAATACTCTTCAGAATTCGTATGTCAGACAGACAATGTTGATTTCTCGCACACTGAGCTGAAGACACACTTGTGCATGGTGATGAGTGATATTTAATGTCCTTCCCCAGGGAAATATCAGCCGGCAGGAAGCTGTCAGCATGATTCCCCCCCTGCTCCTGAAAATCGAGCCCCACCATAAGGTACCTCACTGCAGGTTGCATTCACGCAGCCGGTTGGTTTTTGGACTCTTTCTTTGTTGTGACCAAAATTAGAAAATCACGGGGGAGTAGCTTCTGATGCCTGGGCAGTAGCAGATTTTAGGATGCTTGGTGATTAGTTCCACGCTGGTAGCTGAAATGCCCCCCCCCCCCCCAGAATCTGGGTAACCGCTGTGAACAGCAGTTGATTCTGGGACCCTGTCCGCTCATTAAGCCCTTGGACGATGCAGGGCGGACAGGCTAACGAGACGCCTTGTGATATCGCACAGATCCTGGACATGTGTGCTGCCCCAGGCTCTAAGACTGCTCAGCTCATCGAGATGCTGCACTCCGACATGAACGTCCCGTTTCCCGGTAATGCGGCCTGACATCGGTGTGCCTCTCTGTGGAAGTAGAAGGGGATAGTTCAGGTCCAGAGAATAAAAATCCAGACCAAGGTTTAGTTTCTACCAACCAGTTGAATATAAACAATCAGTCACAGAATACTCAACTGGTTGGTTGAAACAAAACCTTGGTCTGGATTTTTACTTTCTGGACCTGAACTACCCACCTCTGTGTAGAGGGTATCTACGTTTTGCATCTGCATCCGCTCATCACCGTGTCTCTTGGCCCCGCAGAGGGATTTGTCATTGCCAACGACGTGGACAACAAACGCTGTTACCTGCTGGTGCACCAGGCCAAGAGGCTGAACAGCCCCTGCGTCATGGTGATCAACCACGACGCCTCCAGCATCCCCCGTTTCCAGGTGGACAGCGACGGCAGGAAGGAAGTCTTGTTCTATGATCGGATCCTCTGCGACGTCCCGTGCAGGTGAACGGCCACCCCATTTGACCCGTGCTTGTCCTGGGAACGTGCTGGCTTTTGCTGGTCATCAGCTCTGCGGCTTGAGCCTGTAATCGGTGGACACTCTCCTCTTTCCGACTGACTACCCCACAGCTTTGGCCATGCTTATCCCGTGTATTATGAATTTTGTGAATATTAAATGTTTATTTTTGCCTGCAGTGGTGATGGAACGATGAGGAAGAATATTGACGTGTGGAAGAAGTGGACGACGAGCAACAGCCTGCAGCTGCATGGGTGAGCCGCGCCCAGGGAGGGTGGGGCATCTTTCCCTGGCCAATCAGGGCTGAGAGGTTGAGTCACATGTTCTCTGTGGTCTGGGAACTTGAGAATTCTGTTTTGTGTGCTGACATTATCCAGACCGATAGGTTGCTGTAAAAACACAACGCCAGCAAATAATTCGACTGAACAGTAATATCACTGACTGCTCACCCGTAGCTAAAAGAGCAACACGACTGCACACATTCATTTACCTTTTTAACATGGAGTTTGCAGTGTTACTTGCATAACCGTTTAATTAATTGCACACACACGAGCTGAGAGATAAATCAATTTTATCCATTTAAGTTTTTGCTTTAGAACGATGTGTAAAAATTAAAATTGCAATTTACGTTAAAATACATTTACTTTTGCAGCACGACAATAAGGGGTCTTGGTTATGTTCATTCATTAGCCAATCACATCACTTTGTCATAGCTGGGGGCGGAGTCCGGCATGGTTTGGACTGGCTTCTGCATAGTTGATTGTTGCCAAGTTTGGGCCCTCTGGCATACGTTTGTGACCGTTCGTGCTAATTCAAGTTTACCTGTTCAGTGCTCAGTGTGTGTCTTCATCATGTTCTTTTTGAGAAAGTATCAGTTTTGAAATCTAAATAGAAAATGTGCTTCGGTTCTTACAAAAATGTTACTGCTTCAAAGGCATTTTAAATAATTACTTTGAAAATGTATATAAGCCTGAGGAACCAGGAGAGACGCGGTTTTTTAATTGTTTCCTGTGCTTATTCCCAATTAGTTGCATCACTTACTAATAGAAAAAAGCAAATAGGCTGTTTATTATTATTATTATTATTATTATTATTATTATTATTTATTAATAAATTTTTGATAAATGGTAATGTCAAACTGGAACTGTAGTGAAGATTTGTGAATTAACTCGGATTCTAATCTTGCGACTTGCGAACATCTCTGGCATTTGTACTGTTACAACAATCGATTGCTGCATGTATCGCTTTAAAAGGTGAATGCAGTTCACCAGTTGTGTGCATCCCTGGTTATTATGTAATATTTTACGATTCAAATACTGGGTTTCAAAGGTCCCCCACACGCACAGATGTGTAGTTTTCACACTGGAAGTACTTCCGATGGAAGCTGGGCCTGTCGACCTTTGGATTTAACAGAGATTTTTGACCATGTTTGTGTCCTGGGCAGCCTGCAGCTCAGGATAGCAGTCCGTGGCGTGGAGCAGCTGGCCGTCGGGGGCAGAATGGTGTACTCCACCTGCTCCCTCAACCCAATCGAGGATGAGGCTGTCATCGCCGCCCTGCTGGAGAAGAGCGAAGGTGCGGTTCTGACCTGGAGTACATAGTCATATCTGCTTAGACGACTTCCGGTGAAAATGTGTGAATCCAGTTTCTATTTCTGCCGTCAGGTTAATTTCTGGTTGATTCACACAAAATTCCTTCCAGTAACCAGTAACCTCTATAGTTTGTGCTGATGTGGACCCAGACCTTCATGTTCAGTGACGCAAACCGTCTAAATAGGAACCTGATCAGGTTAAAGTACATTTCCAGTTGTGAATGGCATGCAGCCATATGCAAGTGTCTGATCAACAGGAGATTTAGGGTTCAGTATTGGACCATGTCCCGCTCACACTGACGCAAAGCCTCCTGGAAGCTGGTAGAATGTTCTGGAAGTGGGATTATAACTGTCTGATTTTAGTGTCGCTCAGGCAAGGCCGCATTTGCAGTGCAGCTACCGGAATGGGGAATCCCACATGTCTGGCCCGTGGCGGCTCTTTGCTCTGGCTGCTGCTGTTCTCGTTTTGCTGGTGGTGTATCTGGGGTGTGTGGGGCCGTGCCGGCTTGCAGGGCGCTGGAGATGCTCCCGGCGACCAGACTCTGAGTGCCTACTCTTGCTCCCCGTTTCAGGAGCCTTAGAGCTTGCAGATGCTTCTGCCGACCTTCTGGGCTTGAAGTGGATGCCTGGAATGACGTCATGGAAGGTGGTCCTCTTTGTTCCCTTACCACGTGTGTCTGTGTGTGGGTGCACTCCTCCGTCTCCTGTTCTCTCTCTCTCTCTCTCTCTCTCCCTCCCTCTTCCACCCCCACCATGTATCTCCCAAGCCTGCCCCCCACCCCCGGAGCGGAGCGTCACCATAACAAGCGATTACGTAACCCTGCGGGGCCAGCGGGAGGCCGTCATGGTAGCTGTGGCCCTCTCTCTGTCTCTGCAGCTGATGACTAAGACCGGGGAGTGGTACACCAGCTGGTCCGAGGTTCCGTCCAGCCGACACACGCAGATCCGGCCCACGATGTTCCCGCCCACAGACCCGGAGAAGCTCAAGGAGATGAAACTTGAGAGATGGTATTCCCTTTACCATGCTATGCTTGGGCTCATAGCTCATTTGCCCGATTCTGTTAGCACCTCTGGCAGTCTTTAATGTCAGGTTTCTTTGAAAAGGTTGAATCGTTACCATAAGCGGGTGAAGTATTTTGCTGAAGCTGAGCACCAGAGGGCGCTGTTGGTCAGTCATTCCACTGGAAACGTGACATCACAGTATATTTCCTCACCATGCAGGGACTGTTACACGTGGTGATGGTGTCACTATGTGTAATACAGTTATGCAAAGTGTGTGGGGTCCGTTGTCACGGCGACGTGTGACTGTACGGAGCGACGCGGATTCATCACGGCCTGGCAGCTTGAGGCGGGGTGGACGTGTGTAGATGTGTGCATTCAGACCCCTGTCCCAGCCCTGCTAAATTAATGCCTTAATATGGGAAATTGATGTCTTACAACAGGGAGAGAGACTGCTCATCTCTTTAAGGACGCAGTGCGTCTTTCTCTGGCCAATCAGGGCCGCGGGGCTGCATTGCACGTTTGGTGTGGTGATTAGGAGCCGGTGCTGGGCCTCTCCCTGCTTTAATGTCAGTGTTTCATTGCGTTGTGTATTTACACCTGCTGGCGAGGTGTATCGAATGTGATCGGCCCCAGCCCCCCCCCAATTGTACATTTATACCTGAGGCCCCCCCTTCAGTTCGTCCACAGTCCCATAGGTCAGGACTGTCAGAGCTGAGGCTTGTTCTGGTTTCCAGTATGAGGATCCTGCCGCACCATCAGGACACAGGTGGCTTCTTCGTGGCGGTGCTGGTGAAGAAGGCTCCGATGCCATGGAACCGCCAGTACCCCAAGGTACCCAAGCCCCCCCCACTCCCCCCCTACACACACACAGGCTCTGCCATCCAGGATGTTGTGATGCCCCCCCTCCGAGGTCCAGTAAGATGGTCTGATTACCCAGCGTGATTTTGGCTCCTTCTCATTGACAGAATTACTCACTGTCCCCCTCCCCCTGCGACCCTCAGATCCGCCACAAAGAGGCAGACGTGGCTCCCTCTGCCAACACACCCCCTGCAGACCCACCCCCGGCTGAGGAACTGGCCCCAGAGAGCCAACCCGCAGACCCGGAGCCCGAAGGGCGCCCCCTGGAGGTCGCGGTGAAGAAGGACGGAGTGTGTGGGTTAGTGGAGCTTTCCTGCATTCTTGTGGCAGAGTTGCAGGGGAAGGACACTGTGGTTCATTTCTATACGATTCATCAGATTTGTTTTTTTTTTCATAATTTTTTTTTTTTATATAAGCCGCGTTTCGATGGCCGTGAGCCAACTGACGAAAAACTCTTGCCATTGCCAGCCCCCCCCCTTCGAAGAAGATGAAGCTGTTTGGCTTTAAAGAAGACCCGTTCGTGTTCCTGTCTGAGGACGACCCGGTGTTTGCTCCCATCCAGTGAGTTGCCGCAGTGCATTATGGGTAGTCAGTGTGGGGGCCGGGTTGACAGGCTGGCTCTGTTGCTGCCTTGATTTAGTTCTGATGCTTCCGGTTAGCCTTGCCTGCATTCTGTCACCGTCACGGTGGGTGAATTCCCCCACACGTCGCCCGAAGGGCTCTCTTTGACACCTACGTACGCTCACCGATTCAGGGCCTTCTACAACCTGTCCCCCACGTTCCCGAAGCTCAACGTGCTCACCAGGACCCATGAGGGCAAGAAGAGGAACCTGTACATGGTCTCAAAAGAGCTACGAAATGTGCTGCTCAACAACAGTGAGAAGATGAAGGTGAGGGGGCCTGAAATCTCTACTGGTGGTGGGGAAGGCGTCAAGTGTTGCTCGGTGCGGGGGCGGTCGGACCGGTTCTGTCACATGAGTCTCAGGGTTTTTCTTCTTCTGCCCTCCCCAGGTGATTAACACGGGGGTGAAGGTGTGGTCCCGGAATAACGACGGTGAGGAGTTCGGCTGTGCCTTCCGGCTGGCCCAGGAGGTACGGAATACCAGTGCAGCTTCCTGTTTTTGGTGTCAGACTTCCTGTTTAACAATGTTGGACTCTCTGGTGATGTTATGAGTTTTACTGCTGAGGTGTGTTAAGGGACGGCCTGTCTGGTTACTCCCAGGGCATCTACACGCTGTTCCCGTACATTGGGGCGAGGGTGGTGGACATCAGTGTGGAGGACATCAAGGTCCTGCTGACCCAGGAGAACCCCTTCTTGAGCAAGCTGGAGAGCGAGGCTCAAGCTCAGGCCAAGAAGCTCAGTCAGTGCTGCACTGTTGGAGAAGTTTTTTAACGTGTTTATATTTTTAACATATTTGAAACTATGGCTTTTCGAGCCCATTTGTTAAATACTTCAGCCATTAAGGATTAATTGCAGGATTCTCTTGGTACCCAATGGGGCTGACTGTGACATTCTCTTCTCCATAGCCATGGGCAGCATCGTCCTGAGATATCAGCCTGATGCACAGTGAGTGTTGTGTCTCCGGAGTACAGCGTTGATGTTTCTTTTTCCCCCCTCTGCGAGGTGGCACCCCTACCATTTTGCTAAACGTTTAGAGGGTGATCATTTTATTTGTGTACTGCTCTAGCACATGTCCAAAGCTAAGCTAACGTGTGCCTCCCCCCCCCCACAGAAATCCTGGGGTCCCGCAGTGTCCCATCGAACTGTGTGGCTGGCGGGGCAAAGCCTCCATCCGCGCCTTCGTGCCCAAAAATGAGCGGTTTCACTATCTGCGCATGGTGGGCGTGGAGATGTTCCTGGGCAAGCAGGGCAAGGGGGCCAGGGGCAGTGGCGAGGCAGGGGAGAGCCCCACCCCTCCTGCCGAGGAGGCGAGGAAGGTGAAAGCGGAGGAGGAGGGCGAGGCCAAGGTGGACGAAGTCTCGGATGGGGAGAATGGCGACCCCCATGACGACGGGCAATCCGGAGACACGGAGGCAGCCATGCAATCCTGAGAGGGGTGGGGCTTCAGAGGGGGCGTGGCATGAGCCATAAGCAGCCAATCAGAGAGACTTATGGGGAAGTTAGCCTTTTATATCAGGTGAGCTGGTACATGCTGTCACAAGGTCCAACAGGCAGAACCAGCTCCTTGCAGAAATGTGTTTTAATTTCAGTTAAGCTGTCAGTCCCCTTCACTGAAGGCATTTTAGTTTCTAAACACTCTGCTTGTTAGTGGCCTTCCTTGCTTCGTTATGTGAGGCTTAAAGGGGCAGCCCCCCCTGGAGGAGGGCATACCAACCGGCCCCCATTTGCTCTCCCTCAGGCTTTAGGGAGGCACCCTTTAAATGGTTTTTATTTTTTGTCATTGCTTTGCAGTATTTGTAATTCAAACCTTTTTTAAATGTCAAAATTTGAGGCAAAATTTATTAATTTACTGAGCTGTGTACAAATGGTTCTAGTTAAAAACATTACCAATAAATATTAAGTTTAATTTCCCATAGTGCTGTTTTGAATGCATTGTTTGCTTATCACGTTTCTGCTTTGGAACACTTGACATTAAAAACATTAAAGCTTATGTGCAATTTTAATAAAGGGGAGCTGAATTCTGTATGGTCTCAGAGACACGCTTTGCGTTTAAGCCAGTCAGGCGGATCACTGGTGAGGGTGCGGGTGAGTCTCCGAAGCGAGCCTGCAGCTGTGAGAGCGTTTCAATTAGAGCCTTGCTGAAACCTGATTTACTTGTGATAAGAGCTTCATTATTAGAGCAGGAGTTCCCAAACCACATGCTCAGCATGTTAAGATCGCTGGGGCTGAGCCTCTGACACGGCCTCCCTCACATGCCGAGGTGGAGTTCATGGAGAACGGCCCGATCGACAAAAACACGTCCGGTCCGCGGCATTTCTGAGGGCGAAAACACAAGGTCTGAACCAACAGGAATTAGAAAAATAGTCCAGACTCCATAAGGAATGTTCCAGCACCTTATTGAATTCATGCCCCTAAGAATGTGTACAGTAGGCAGTAATGGGTCCTACTCTGTACCAGGCATAGCAACTAGGAGTAATGAAAGTGTTAATGATTTTACTTTATTCCCCTTTATTCCTGTCTTTTTCCCTGTATTCCTGTCTTTAATCCCTGTAGGCAAACCCCATGCGGAGGGTTGGCAAACACACTTTGATTTGTAATGAAACCACTGTGAGGTTTGACTCTATCGGCTACCCTCTCTAACCAAATGTCCAGCCGTGAGCCGTTTGATTAAGCTGGCTTTTATTTAACAAATACACAAGGAGCCCCCCCCAACCCTCGAGAGAACTCTCTTGTGTGATTCCACTGGGGTTTCCCTGGGCTGAAGGTGCGCCCAGCACAGCCTGGGGGGGTAACGGCAGAGTTCTATCTCTAATTGTCAGCTTGGGGGGCGTGTTTTTGCTTATTCTGTGTAACTCCGGCCGGCAGAGGGATCAGTTACCATTTGGGTGTGAAAATGCTTGTTCCTGATGTCTTTGGGTCTTGCCTGACCGTCAGCTCGACAAACCTCCTGCTACAATTAGCTGACTCGCTACCTTTCCCCTATAGGTCCAAATCTATAACCCCCCCTCCCCCACAGTGCTTTGCTGTATGAAATGGGGGGGAGGGGGACTTCAACCAGGCAACAGATATGCATAAACGACATAAACGACCAGCTAGAGAGTGTAAAATGCGTACATTTACCGTGTTGTCTCTGTGGATCTGGCTGTCTGCTGGTGATCTGTATGGCCAGGGCTCACGATGCGATGGCCTTCGTGAAACCGGGGAAGCCGTTGTCACCATCTAGCTGAATCCCCCCCCCCCATCTCTCCATCCCTGTGCCCTAGGCTCTGAGCGCTCTGGGGGAAAATGGCGCCGGGTTCGCGGCCAAGGCCCCGCCCGCCTCCGGCACATTCCTGCAGGTGTTGCCTAGTAACAGGGAAAGGAGCGCCCCTGCCCTAACGCCCTCTTCACATCACCGCTTATCATTGGTTTAATCCTCATTTATAATTGTGTAATTATGCTGAAAATAGGAGTGGGCCGATCATACGCTGCCCCATGACTACTGATTGGAACCCCCCCCCCCCCCCC